GTCCTGAGTTCAATTCCCTGTACCAAAAAAAGAAAAAAAAAAGAAAAACCTAAAGCTTCCCACAGTCAATTCCTCAGTGAACTAAGGTTTCTCCTAGCACAGATACAAAACTTACTGTGAGAAAGCACTTATCCTTTGGTTGCCCTATTCTTGTTGCTGAACTATGACCTTCCGTTAACCTTTATCACAAGATGTAACTGAAAAGCTGCTTAGGTTCGAGACATCCTCCTTGCTGCAGCATTGTTTTCAACTGAGACAGAATCAACCATTAACCAAGCAGTAATCTTTTTTCTCTTGGTCTGAAGCTAAAAATAACTGTGGAACTCTCTACTCTCAATTCAACAGAACCATTGTTTTTGCTCCTCATAGAGGTCCTTCTCATCCAAGGACTAGTACAGCCATATCAATAGCCATATCACATGATAAGAGACAAAAATATTTTCATTCAAAACATTAAGTGATATTGAGTATTTATTCTTATTCCACATTTTCACTCTCAATCTGTTGGGAGCCAGGAATTTTTTTAAAATAAAGAACAAATTTTATTTTAAAAATAGATCTCAATGAAATACCCAAACCTGTTTGTTATAATAGGAAAACAAAAGGTAAGAGGAGTTTGTTTTACTTATTTTCTGAAAATACAGAATTACCACTGTAATACAGTACCAACACTCACTTGTTTTTATTTGGATTATTCCTTTTATGCATTACCCAAGCATGTTTAAAAGCTGGAGTGGCTTTTGCATGCTATTTAGACATATGTCTAGATTGTTTTTATCTTCAAGTAAATACATTCTCAAGGAACACAAAGAAAATTGGGCACTTGCTTACATAAGCATAACTAGGAAGACAAATTATGCTCAGGAAATATATTCCAAAGTAATATCATTTTTTGCATTACCATTTCTGTAGATTAAAAAAACCTGTATTCAAAGTACTGGTATTTGAAAATAACAAATTATCCTACTTATACAAAGAAAAAAAAAATAACGACATTATTTCCAGTCCCAAAGAAGAGGAAATTTTCAAGGCAATGACAACTGTAATTTAAAAGTGGTTTTCTAGCTGAAAAGTGCTACAGAAGCAAGTATTCAAGAAAAACTTCAGGTTGGTACTGAAATATCAAGAATGCAAGCGGCAAAAAAAGTAAAAGCCCTCATCACTATAAAGTCTGTTTTAAATGTATTTCACAAAGAAATGAAAGCAGTGGTTGCAAGACAAATGAAGGCCAAGTTAGTAGTACACAACTTACCCATCAGCCCACATTTCTTTTCAAACTAAGGAAGTTTTTCTTGTGTGATGCAAAAAACATCATTGTATATTGTTATTGGTTAAGAGTATGTAGTATATCCCAAATCTTGAGATGTTATTGTCATTGCTATCACTTCTATTAATATATAAATATTTTGCTGAAATTATTAAGCTTTTCACCATATATTCAGACCCAAACTCCAACTCTATGTGGCAAGTACTAAGATGAACTTTATGTACGTTATTAACTTAATATTCTCAGCAACCCTATTAGTTAGATATTCATGTTATTCCACTTTACCACCATACGGAAATTGAGGTACCAAAAGTACAGATAACCTTCTTAAAGTCTTACAGTTGGTTAATGGTAGAAGTGGAACTCAAAATGAATTAGAATCCTAAGCCTGTGCCCCTGTCCGCAATGATCCATTGCCTAGCACCATCATTGTGGGGATCACTTGAAGCAGCAGTGAATGTCCACATCCCTAGGTATTGTGCAAAGCCCTTTGCTTTCCACTTGCTTGATCCCATAACTGGAATATGTCTTGCCACCCATATCTTTGTATAAAAATGCTACTTCTTTTCAAAGACATTGCCTCAAGTTAAGTCCACCAAGAAAGATTTCGTGTTCATGTATTCTGGTGCTGTAAGCATCTTGTAATATGTAGTGTCTTTATCAGACATCCAATAGTAAGCTGCATGACACAATTTTTGTCCTAGTTGTCTACAATACAGCCTATCCTCTCAGTCATGACCAAGATAAAGTTATATCATATTCATCTTTTATCCAGTGCCGTCCTTGTCTTAGTGTCACATGGTTCAACTCTAGACACTGAGGCAGTTTTCAATAATTATTCATAACCAATAATATTACTAAAAAGGTGATTTTTACTTCATAAATAGGCTGAAAACATCTTCCTTGATCCCTATTTATATAAATATAGAAAAAATGGGAAAAAGACACATAAGCAAGAGGAATACAACTATCTATAGTTGTTTACATATTTTTAACAGCACAAGGACTCACAGCAACTACTAAAACAGCATGAAGAGCTCATTTCCCTTACCTAATGTTTCTGTCATACTTCCCCTTTCTAAGAATAAAGCACGCTGGAATATTTCCTAGACAGAAAACAAAAAAATATGGCAGGAAATATATTGATAGTTTTATGTTCAGTTAAAATCTGTAGCAGACAGGAAACTCCAAAAAGACCTGCAATGGTCAAAGTAAACAGCAATCAAGTACCGCATGGTCCTCAAGAAAATAGCAGATGAGATTCTATACCAGTGCTCCTTCAAGGGGCTGCAGGCTTCACAACATCTTTATTAATTAGATATAAAATAATGCAAGAAATAGGGAATCAGACAACCAAAAATTATTGTCTATTAGTTTTAACATTTTCCACTCATTGCAATAAATATCACCATAGTACCATTATCCCAATCATACAAATATTTTTCTTTCAAACTAATCCATGTACTTACATTTGGGGCACACAGTTATCATTTATATTGTTATTTCCCTAACAAGGTGGTGTTGAGAGAAGGGAGAAGAGGAAAATAAATACAGAGAAAAGAAAACAACTTAAGGACATAGAATTGAATTCTGAATGAGCCACATGCAGTAGAGGAAATCAATGTGGATTTTTTTCTAGATGTATACTATTATTGAGTAGGCTCCAGTTTTGCTTCATATAAGCAATACCTTTTGGATATATTGTATTCCATGAAACTATCTTCTCATTCAGTGTCACTTTGCCACCAAATCATGCATTTTGAATCTCTCAGTTTGTTCTGTTCTAGTTTCTATGCTGAGCTCTCTGCTAGGTTTAATAAAAAGTTTTAAAGGTAAAGAATAAGATCAGAAAAAAATTTCCAACAGAACTGGTGCTCACTTTTCTTAGAGGAATTATGCTTTGCAAAGTGGTTACTTCCCCACAGAAGGATTTTTCTTTTCTCTTAGTGAATAGAATTACCATATATAACCAGTCAAAAGTTTCTCAGAGAGGCCAGTGGTTCTCTGAAGAAGAGTGTTTCTTGATAGGAGTCCTTTGCAGTCACTTCTAGCAAAACAGAAGTAGTCCTCAGCCACATGCACAGTGTGGCTGTCTCTTTCTAAGTGAGGAAGGTCAGGGAGTGTTTCATCTTTGCAAGGAACTACACTTTTCCCAAAGTCTTTGAATCACCAAACATTGCAACTCTGGTATTTTAGCACCATCAGTGCTGATAGGCCAGAAGGGGAGTGAGAAAGTTGATGATGAATAACATTGAGCATATCATTCACAGTGCCCCCTGTTTATTTATGTGGCCACAAAAGTGAGCTAAATCTTTCTTAACATCCTAACACTTCACATACTTTTTAAGGGTGGCGCATGTTCCCCAATCTTTCTGAAATACTGTACGTTCCTTTTGACGCCCGTTTCCTTAAATGCTTGCAACCAAGAGAATCACTCTTGCTACTGTTGCTACCATCAAGCAAATGACTGTTCCAAGAGTCAGTTTTGCTTCTTCCCAAATATGTTGGCCTTCCATGGTATTCGTGTTTATATATATATGTAAACCCTAACATACAGAAAACTTTTAACGAGTATTGGTTCATTCCTTATTTGGGCAATAAAAGGAAAATACACCACAAATAAAGACAAATCTTATAAAATTGTACAAAAACAGCACGGTGTGCTCTGGAAATATGTATCACATGGACCAACACAAAGCTGAAGGAAATTTTCAAAAATGAGGGTATCAAAAAATGGGATAGAGTTTTGCGGTCAGCTGTAATCAGTTTTCAGTGACAGTGACACAAAGCATGTCTATCTAAAAAAGACCCCCAGCCAGGAGCAATGGTGCACACTTGTAATCCCAACACTCTGAAAAACTGAGACAGGACAATCAGAAGATGGAGCCCAGCCTGGGTAACTTACTGTCTTGGCAAGACTCTATCAAAATAAAAATACATTAATAAATAAATAATAAATATGCTGAATAACAATAAAGGTAGCTCAGAAAAGCTCTGTATTCAATGCTCAGTACTGGAAATGAACTATGACAACAAGAAACCCTTTAAAAATAAAGTAAAATAAAATAAATCTAGATAAGATTTCTAGAAGCTTTTGTATCATCCCAAAAACATCTGGTAACATTTGCTAAGTGTCACTAAAATCATCTGCTCCAAGACTATTTGATGGCTAAACAAATAAATCTACTCCTTATGTATACAGATGCTGTTATCTCCCACTATTATTTCCCTGTAACTGATGTATGCTAGAGGTATGTAATGTCCCTTGGGAGCATTTGCATTGGTTAATCCTAGACAAGAGAAAGACACTGTAATAAGCATTGTTAGATAGTGTCTTTCTTTTCTTTAGAAAATAAAACACGGGGCTGGGGATTTAGCTCAGCGGCACAGCGCCTGCCTGGCAAGTGCAACGTCGTGAGTTCAATTCCTGACACCAGAAAAAAGAAAAAGAAAAAAAAACACGTTTAGCAAACCAGTCTTTGTATATCTTGGAATGGAACTGGGCACGCCATTAATTTTGATTAGAAACTAAGATCTAGCACAGAGCTTGGCACATAGTAGTTATTAAATAAATATTTATTAACAAACCAACAAAAACAATAACAGAAAAACATCAAGAGAAAGGCAGTTATAATAAACAAACTTTATTGAGTAATCCAAAAACATGACTTTCTTTTTTAAAAAATATGTATAAACCAAATTATCACCTCTGGTTAATAAAATGAGGCTCTTTCTGAGTGGAAACTGACTAACCCACACAGTTCTTACAACGCTGGAGACCGTTCTCGTTGCAAGCTGTACACTTCAGAGCTTTGAAAGAGTCTGTAAAACAGTTTCGAAACACTGACATCTTGCTCCCATGGCACACGGAGCACGGAAGAAAGCCAAAGCCTCCGCAGGAGGGACACTCGTGTGGATGCTGCACTCTCTGTGCAGGGTAACAGGGAAAAGAGAGGATAGAAAATACATTAGTATGAACAGTTCCATCAGTCTTGCTCTCTTTCTGTACTATGAGCAGCTGTGAAACAATTTTGGCCTAACGCACTTAAAATCACCTACTATTAATATACATTGGACTTAGGGGAAAAAATGAAAGTCTCTTTCATTGCCCCATAGATGACCATTATAGCAGACTTAGTTTGTAAAAGCTAGTAAATGTTAAATTTAATAGTATTCATCTTCAAAAATTCCATCATATTTACCAACCAAGTAATTCAGAAGATGGTTATTACATTACAGAAAAATACTTTAACTTTCCCTTTTGTATCTCTTAAGAGTTTTATGTCTTTGTGCAAAGAATAGCAGCTCTAACAGCAAATTTGGAAAATCAGAAAACTATAAGCTAAAGTGTGGAGGAGCCACTATTAACTGAAGATCCATCATTATATTGCCAATTTGAATAATGCTTTATTCTTTTCAAAACACTTTCAAAAGCATCATTATGTAGCATTTTCCCCCACTCCACCCTCCCCACATACAGTCATCTTCTTCAATAAAGACATAATTCAAGCTTCATTATCTTCATTTTATACTTAAGGAAATAGGCATAAAAACTTGAGACATTACTGCACATCCATAAAACATCCCACAGTAAATCTCAGCATTTCTACCTCAAGCAAAGATAAAGTATCTCTAATAACAGAATGAAAGCAACTAGGCAGTGAGTTGAATATAATATTTTATGTAAAAATTATTCACATATATTTTTATTTGCCTTTTTGAGCCTGCAGCCTTTGTCAGAGGCCACTAGTGTTTTTCATCAGATCAGGGGAAGTTTGAAACCATTACAGGGAGAATACAAAGAGAAAAAGTGAGTTGATGCTAAACTTCTGCCTTGCAAAATAGGAACTATAGCAATGTTCGAAAGCCCACTTTGTAGAAAGAATAATACCAGCACCTGTTTGGGAAAGGAGATGCACAGAGAGGACACAAAATCAAAAAAACATAGAACTTAGAGAAACATGCTTAACATACTTACACATATATACAAATTTTCTTTAGAGGTTCCTAATTCTCATGTTAAAATCTCCAAAAACTCCAAGTGAAAAGGAACCTGATGAGCTGGATTTAACCCATCATTTCTCTACCACACATGACCAAAAGAACTTTTTCCCTTGAAAGTAAATGTGATTCTCTCATAATAAGTAACGGGATGTGGGTTGATTTGAGAAACAAGCACTAAAAACATGTTGACTAAAATTTGTATATTCCCACAACATTTTTCAGATGTGCATTTTCTGTATGTAGCAAGATTGCCTTACAATCACAGCTCGGCTTAGCCATTACTAAAATATGTCATTTTTAACAGCATAGCAATGTTTTGATGAAAAGTGATGGTTACCAATCTGGATGACTCAAACAAGGTACTTTGTCAAGATTGTAGAAATTTGAAGTTCTTCCCAAAAGAAAAATTGAATGCATGTAGAAATTTGGTTATTTTGTAGATAGGTTCTGACATTGATTTATATAAAACTCACCCCTAAAAAAGGTTGTGCTGAGCTTAAATAAATTTTTAAAAATATTAAAATATCTTTAAAAAAACACTCAGAGGAAAAACAAACCAAATGATGAAAAAGTGTTCCTAAAAAAGCAAAATATATGAAAATTATCAAGTAATGATATATTATCAAATTTTAGAAAGAAAATGGTAGATCCATGAGATTACTAAATCCGTAACACATTAAACCTATTGAATAATCTGTAAAATGAGAATGCCAACTAAACATAACAGGTGTTAGGCCAGCCTCAAGTCTGGAGCAAGGGACTATAGGTCCTCTCAGTCCATTACTTCATTCGTTACAGCTGGTTGTGGATAGGTCTGGGCTCCTACTAGAGCAGGACTCTCAAACACTGCAAATAAAACTACAAGATGCTAAGTTAAATTTGACTTTCAGAGAGACCACAAAGAAGTTTTGGTAGGAGTGTATAACAAATATCATCTCAGACATACTTAAACTGAAAAGTTATTCATAGGCATCCTGTATTCTCTCCAGCAATCCTGTAGGGCAGACAAGGGCTGTCAGGTTAGAAGGGAGATGTTAGGGCAGCAGTTATTTTTCAGTCAATATGAATTGTCCAGTATTTTTAAAACCAGTACAAATACGTGTCCATATTTAAGAACTGCGCCAGGGCTGAGCTGTAAATGCACCTGAATGAAAATCCAATCCATGCTATGTTCTGAAACACTTGCAAATGACCACATTTTTGAGTAGCATGTGAGTAGCATAAAATATATTGATGATAACAAGCAAAGACCACCTAAAATAAAATGTGAGTGCTAGGCAGCTTCTTAGGTTGTCTACCTACGTCACTTACCCCAAACACCAGGCTGTTAGCAAACAGACTTTAAAATGGCAAATAACTGACAAATTTAAAAATTATTTTACATCATGGACCTGCAATGTAACATATAAAGACTGCTTTTAAAGGACAAAAATGTCAAATGTCAAAGCCAATAACACCAAGAATCAACTGTTTCCTCATAGTTTATCCCAAAGTCACAACATATAAACTTTCCTAAAGTAAAATTACTATATCAATACTAAAAAGTGTATTCTCATGTTTAAGCAGAATCACAAATAGACCAAGATCATTCTGGAACCATGTCTTTAGAATCTATGCTATTCTAAGTTGAGATTTGTCTTTTACTCAAAGGATTATTTAAAGAATTAAGTAAGTTAATTCTTTCACATCAACTAAAACATTTCCTGGCTCATAAAAGACATTTTATAAAGTTAGGCATTATTAGTCATTATTTCATTAATTAATTGCTATTTGCTAAGTCCTACTGCAAGCTAAATTGCTCATGGTTACACTACACAGCCTTTTTCTACCATTATGAGTTACCTGCTTTCAGCATATCTATATCTGGCCTGCTGGGTTAAGGTTTTGCCACTGTAATAAAGGGAGAACAAATATGCTTCAATTCATGTGGGAGTTCAGATGCCTAGAGCACAGTGCTGGCAGAGGCTGAGATCACATCTCTTCTCAAGAAAAACTGGCTACTCCAGCCATAAGTGAAGGAGAAGAAAGGGGTGGCTTCTATAGAATGTATAGTCTACGTCCCCCTCTCTCACTGACCTGATACAATAGAAAGAGGGATCAAAAAGCCATCCATAGTTCTTTTTGTTCATAAAATCTTGATGAAGTGCTTTAAAAATACTCAAGGTCAGATCATTTTACTTATTAATTTGTTACTCAAATAAATATTGAATGCTCACTAGCCAGGCCCTGTGCATGTAGTAGTGATATAGTGGTAAGCCAGAAACTTCCTTGTCCTCCTAATAGTAGTTCCCAGCCCCACATGTAGGTCTTGAAATTCAGTAAGTCCATCCCAGCTATTAAATTGAAGTTAGTAGAATTCCCAAGTCTCTAACAAAGTATCAAGAGAACAGGAAAACAAGTGTGGAGGACAAGAATGATTGCCAAATAGACTTCCTTTGAGGTACTACTTCAAATTTTAGGAATATATAGAGTTTATCCCAGGTCATCTAATATAAAAACAGAACACTGAACTCAAAGGTCTTTGTATAGTCTTCAAGATCAAGGAATAAAACACTATTAATTTAAACCTCAAAACATCTAGTCTGATTTCTTAATCATTTTCTGTTCGCTGAGACACAACACCAGACACTCACTACTTAAAGGAGGACAGGTTTACCGTGGCTCACATTTTAGTCTAGAGTCGGCTGGCTCCAAGGCAGAACAAAGCATGGCAGCTGGGCAGCAGTGAGTCAAGGTAGGAGCCAGGAAGGGAGATAAAGCCTTCTGTTATGGGTGATACATTGTGTCAACTTGGGGAGTCTAGAGGTTTGGCTAAGTGACTCAGCAGGAAGCCAAGGTGCTTACTTTGTATACATCATGAGCCTGGGGAAGAGGAGGGCAAAGATTATGTGAGAGCTACACGCCCCTTAGGTGGGGGTAGCCTGTTTACGATGTAAGGGAGGGAAAGAAGCTGCTTGCTGCAATCCCCCACTTTACTCTGGCTGCTTTGCTGTTCAGCTGCCATTCCCCCTTGCTCTTGTTGCTTTGCTGTCTTCTGCCTTGGAGCCAACCAAGTATGGACTGAAACCTCCACAAACTGTGAGCCAAATAAACCTTTCCTTCCTTCATTTTGGGCATTGGGTATTTTGTCTCAGCAACGAGAGAAAAATAACCAAGACACCTTCCAAGTCACAACTATAGTGATCACCTCTTCTACCTAGACCCTCCCTCCTAACAGCAAGTCAGCTCTAGTGTTCCCACATGATTCAATCAGCTTCTGGGGGCTTTTTGGATCTCAATCATAGCACTATACGAGTAGACCTTGAAAGTCTCTTAAATATCATACCAAAGGGGTGTCTGTTTATTTGAGTCTCTCTGACAAAAAACTGATCATCCAGATTGTTTGTGAAGTGAACTACCCTTGTAACAAGCTATCAGTGAATACATGCATGGTAAACAATCATCTCTGAATGATTCACCTGGGTCTATATATTTTAAATTATGTTTAATAATTTAATTCATCCAGTGCTTGTTAGGTGCTTACTAAATACTTCTCAACTTGACCAAACTGCCAAGAATATAAAATTTTTCTTAGTTGTCATTGTCTCCAGAATTTATCAATTTGCTATTGGGAAAGAAGTCACCAAGCAAAGTGAAGATAAAGGAAATTTGTAGTTCATAATCCTAAATGTATGTTTTTGAATATAGGAGCCTACTTCTTGAGTCAGATGGGGGGACTGCAGAAACTTGCTTAGCCGGGTGTTTAATTTTCAAAGAAATCAGATAATGTCACCTGATTCCTCAGGTGAGGAGGCAGCACTCTGCTGCAACAGCCAGTAAGTACACCATGTCCACTGCCCCTCCTGGCCTTCAGGTTTACACTTCCCCAGGGAGCCTCAGGACAGCCTTCAGCAGCTCCAGCCCCTTGTACACACAGCCTGTGAA